TCCCCTTCCGCCCCCCCGCACTGCCAGTGCTGCTTGCTCCCCTTCCGCCCCCCCGCACTGCCAGTGCTGCTTGCTCCCCTTCCGCCCCCCTCACTGCCGACCCACAGCTCCCCAGTAAACTCTGCTGATGCCCCAGAACCCCGACCTTGGGGGCTTTAATGGTGGAAACGTGACTCTGTTTTGCAGTGCGGTGTCGTTCGCTGGCCAGGCGCCCGGGCCATGAATGGAGCTCTCATCCCGGGCACGCCCATTGCAGTGGATTTTTGGAGCATCAGGAAAGCCAGCCATGCTCGCGTGTTCTTTCTCTCCCACATGCACTCTGACCACACAGTGGGGTTATCCAGCACCTGGCACCGGCCCATCTACTGCTCCCCCCTCACGGGGCGAATCCTGCACCACAGGCTGAAGGTAGGAGCCAGCCCACGGGGTCAGACAGCGGCTCGGGGGGCCAAACCCAGGGCCATGGTTTGCATGTCACTTGGATAAAGCCGAGCGTTGTAAGGGTGAGAACGCAGTTACTGTGTTTGCTACCCAGGAGTCTGTGATGAGGAAGGGACGTCTTGGGACCAAGCTTTTGGCATGGGGGGTTAAGAATCCCTGTTTTTCATAATGAACAAAGAGCAAGTCAGACAGAGCGATCCGGCCGCAGAGCTCTGCCGTGCGGCTTGCTGAGGAGATGAGAATGGAGCCCGTCCCTCGGGAGACGCTCTGGTCGGATTGCGGTACCCGACTCCTGGAGCAGAGCGTTCTCTCCCCTGGGGCCAGCTGAGGGGGCCTCCTGCCCAGGCAAAGGCAGTGCAGGGAAGTGTCTGGGTGAATAGCGAAGTACAGCCCAGGGAATGGGGTTGGGCCCCAGGGCAACTGGTTGGCTAAGGGAATGGGGAAGGAGGCCTCATCCCTGTGTTGGGAGGGAGCGGGTCTGAGGCCGACTCCACCTGACCAGCCCTGTGCTTCCTTCCAGGTGGCGGAGCACTGGATCCGGCCCCTGGAAGTGGGCCAGAGCCACCTGGTGGCCCTTGATGAGGTTGGTAAAACGACCATGACGGTGACCCTGATAGATGCCAACCACTGCCCCGGCTCAGTCATGTTCCTCTTTGAGGGCCCCTTTGGTGTCATCCTCTACACAGGTACGAGCCCCCATCCCGGGGCCCGGAGACCCCCTTTGCCTTCCTGCCCAGCTCTGGGCATGTTTTGTTCTAGGGTCCCTGCCAGAGCCCTGTGCTTCTACCACAGGTCACCCCTGACCTCTCCCGCACATCCCGGGCCCTGCCTCCTGTCTTAGGGTTTAGGGGCTCGGAAGGGGAGTCCTGCCAGCACCGCCCCTTGAGGAGAAACAGGTCACTCACCAGGCCAGGAATCAAACCTGAATCATTCAGGTGGCAGCCCGGGGCTAGAGCCAGCAGGCGGTGAGGCCTTGGCAGGCAGAGGCTCTAAGCCAGATCTCTGCCGTAGTAGTGCGTGGACCACCAGGCTGGGCTCCCACAGTTCTATGTGTTTGGTGTTTTGTCTTGTGCCAGGTGACTTTCGTTACACTCCCACCATGCTGCAGGAACCGGTGCTAAGGAACCAGAAACGAATTGATGTTCTCTACTTGGACAACACAAACTGCGACCCCCTGGGCGACCTGCCCTCCCGCCAGCAGGCCACCCAACAGATCAAAGAGCTGATCAAGGCCCACCCAGATCACGAGGTCAAGATTGGTGAGTAGGCATCACGGCATGTGGGTAGGGCTGGTTCCAGAGCCAGGGACTGACAGTCTTTCTGGGGCACTCAGTGCCTGATGGGAGGGAATCGCATTAGGAGGGGACATGTGGTGGGAGAGGTACAGCAGCTCGCTGTGCCTGGGTTGTGCATTTTGACTGGCTCAGAGGACAGATGTAGCTAATTTTCATTCCTTTTATGTGTGCTGCATGGGGCAGGTGATGGTTTTCCTTCCTCCTCCAGCATAGATTGGCAGGACAGGGCCTGTCTCTTCCTGGATGCTGGGTCCAGTAACCTATAGGCCCCACGCTGCTCGCCCCCATCCTGGTAATGGCCCCTTTTTGCTGCCTTTGCAAAATGCTGTTTAGGTCTGAGTTCCTGAGCCCCCTTGTTTGCTCCTTCCCAGGGGTCTACAGCCTGGGCAAAGAGTCGCTCTTGGTGGACTTGGCCTTAGAGTTTCAGACCTGGATTGTGGTGAGTCCCAAGAGACTGGAGCAGATGAAAGTGCTGGGCCTTGTGGACGTCTTCACTGCTGAGGAGGGGGCTGGCTGGATCCACGGTGTGGACATCTCTGAAATCTGCTGGGAAGCCATGATCAACTGGAACCAGCAGCGCCCCACCATTGCCATTCTCCCCACCAGCCGCCCAGTGAAGATCCCCCACCCCAGCGTTCACCTCGTGCCCTATTCAGACCACTCCTCCTTTTCGGAGCTGCTAGAGTTTGTACAGTGGCTGAAGCCCTGCTCCATAGTTCCAATTGTCAAGAGAAACGTGTGCCTGCCGTACTTGGAGAAATACCTGAGCTCCAACCACAAGGCGTCACCTGAGCCCGGAATTCCAGAGTCTGGGCAGAAGTTCACACAGTTGAGAGAGAGCAGGGAGCAGCAAAGAGCCACCCAGCAGCCTGTGCCTACGAAGAACTCCTTTGCATCCGCAGAGAAATGTACGGACTGGCTGGAGCATTTCGGGGGGGTGACGATTGGCCAGCAGAGCTCCTCAGAGCAGCCTAGGGACCCCAACACCCGTTTGCAAGGTGGCTCTATGTGTTGCAGGGGAGAGAGAAAGGGAATCAAAGTGGAGTTATGCTGGCTGCATGGTGCCCAGAGGCAGCTTTTTTCAGCACAGCCCAATACACAGACACTTGCCAGAACGCAGCCACTGCCACCCAAGGACGCCGGTGCCCGGACGTCCCAAAGTAGCACAGAGGGCACAGCACGGTCACACACGAGTTCTTTATCCTGGCAAACAGGAAAGAGACACACCTCCCGTGCCAGCCCATGCCAGCCTCCCCTGCAGGACTGGGCCCCCTTAACGCTGGCCTCTGTGCAGAAGAAGGCCGCTTTCCCCTCACACAAACAGAGTTTAACCTGCCTGCAGACTGAGGAATTTCTTCCCCCAGGAGCAGCTGGAGACCGTGTCACCCTGGCCAGCTGGCCCTCTGTGGCCAGCAGTCATGTTGCCCGTGGGCTTGCGGAGGAATATTTGCTTGCTCCATTAAACACCCTAAAGCAATACTCTGCGGAGAGCTTTGACTGGCAGATCGAAAACTATTTCAGGAGAGAGGAGGGGCCCTAACAGCCAGCATATGTGGAGCTAGCAGCAAAGGTCCTGTTCTCCCAAGTGTTGTGTCAGTGTGTGTTGTCTGCCAGGGCTGCTCTGAGCCAGCCGACAGGAGATGGCCCAGCTCGGGGCTTTACACTGAAAGCTTCCCTTCCGTTGCCTGAGAGGAGAATGGCAGAGTTTGCAGCAGTTCCTAGATTCTCTTTTTGTTGGTTTGTTGAACATTCTAAAATTGCAAGTTTGTTCTACCACAGTATGAGGATGACTCCCAAGTACTATCTGTGACCCTGTCCGTGTCCTGGGGTGTCACCCTGGCACTCACACAAATGTAGATCCCAGGAGGACACTGTTCGCTGGACCTTATAGCAAAGGGGATTGGAATGGTTCCTGGGAGGTGAGCCGCAGGGGGCGTGAGCTGCCAGGGCTGACTCTGCATTCATGTTCCCATGAGACGAGAGAAACATTCTCCTGCTTGACAGCAAAACAGGAAGGAAGTTCAAGAACCCCATCCTCTCCCCCTTGCTGTTTGCATTCCTAGCTGCTGACAGGGATTGGTGTGTGCTCAGCTATCCTAGGGGCTTGAGAGCTGGTTTTAAAGAGACAGTGAAGTGAAGAGCTTTCAGGCCTCTCTGAATTGCTGTGAGGCTGTATTTAGAGACACTAACATCACAGACTTGTGGGAAGCTCTCCCAGGGGACACAGCTGCCGTCCCATCCTGATTGGACCAGTTTGTGGTTGGGGCTGTAAATGCTCTCTTGTGTCACGAACTGGGACAGGAGGAATTCTGTGAATTCTAAGGTCATGGGTCTCTGGTGCAGTTTGTTGCATTGTTTGGAGTGTCTGCGTTCATTCGTGAACTGTTGTTTCTTCTCCCTCCAGCCCTTGATCCTTGTGCCCCATATCAGTGAGTCAGACCAGAGCGACAGCCCCCGGCAGTGTACAAACTCCAGGCACCTTCGCTGGGTTAAAAGTCATGGAGTCTGTGGCTCTTTCAGTGCAGCCAGTGTTAGCCCTGCAGCCGGCCGAGATGAGAACGTGCTCGCTCTCTTGCTGGGTTAAGCTAGACTCTGAAGGAAGCGATCGCCACCTTTCGGTTATGCTGAGCTGGACGTAACCAGCTTCGCTCTCCTTGGCGTGGGATTTAGGGACAGCTTAGCTCAGCTGACCTCAAGGTGACCCTCTGTGGGCATTTCCTTTACTTGTACCTGCTTGGGCAGGTGGAAGCTTTGTAGTTTTCCTAGACAAGTGTTTGACCTGCTGCTTTGTGCCTGTGCCAGCAGCGGGTGGGGTGCAGGGGAGGGGGCAGCCTTCAGGTTCTTAGGGAGCTACTCTTAGCCCGGTAGGGTTGAGGTCCCAGACAGGCTGTCCCCTGGCGAAAGGGCTTTGCTGCCACCCCCACATTGACCCTCTGTCCGAGTGCAGTGAGGGCTCTCAGCGGAATGGCTGTCTGCCCAGAAAATACCCTGCCGTTGGCACTGACACACCCGCTGGACGCCAGGGAAAGGTGTGTCCTTCGGAGCAACTGGGAGCCCTCCCAGGGCCCCCTCTAATTTTGTTGTCTGGTTGCGCCTGGCTGTACAGAAGGAGGCTGCATCACTGGCCTTCCCACCCTGGTGCCTGAGGAGCATCTCGTGAATCGCTGTGTCTGGGTTAAGCTCTGAGAGTGTGTGGAGAAGTGTGTTATTTATACAAAACTCAAATAAACCAAGTTGAAAAAATCTGTGCTGCTGTCGTGGAGCTGGTATACTCAACCTGTCCCGTCCTGGCTTCCTGTCGTTCTTGGGGAGGCACAAAGCTGCAAGCAGCCTGAGTACTGCTGGATAATCTCTGGTTGTTCAGCTAACCAAGCCCCATGATCCTCACGGTGCCAGCTGAGCGTCAGCGTGGTGTTTCCAGGTGTGCGTGCTGCAGAGCCCTGGCTACACGGTGCCGTGTTTGGCACTCAGGCCATGTTCTGTCAGACAAGAGTATTAAAAACCAAGTAAGGTTTATGACTAGCGTTGTGTCTGCCAGGGAGCTCAGATGTCCAAGGAGGGACCTCACCAGGATGGGTCTGATCTCTCCCCTGCCAGCCGCCCATAGGGATGCAGCTCAGAGTCTGCGCTGGAGTCACTGGAGACTGCGACCCACATCAGCCTGTGATGTCTGCGAGCTAGATTACAAGCACCGAACTCAGCTCACCCAGAGGCTGCCCAGCAATTTCCTTGGGGCCTTGAGGGCTGCTCCTAACCTGCACTAAATGAGTTAGATTGTAGCTCCATGCAGGGTATGGTCCCGCCATGTGGTACACACAGGCCCTTCCCATCACAACTGGCTCCCCATCTCTGGGCCGCAGGCCATGCTAAGATGGGAGGGGCTTGCTGTGACCAGCCCTGTGACGGAGCAGGGGAACAAACTGGCGTAATTATCCAACGTGCCATCCCAGAGGCATCGCTCACCGCACGTCAGCCACGTTTGCATGGGTTCTGCAGGCCTCCCTGCAGTGGGGTTTGGATGCGCACCTGGCTAGCGCTAGATTGTGTGTTGGACCACAGGTGCGAGGCATGTGGTGGTGGCTGAATTCAGCTTTCATCTAAAAACCAAAACTTGCTCTCATGGTTCTGAAGAAAACCTTGAGCCCGTGACTCATGGAGGTAGTGGGGTGACATCTGCCCGAGCCTGCAGGCAGCCTCCTTCGGACGGAGGCTCAGCAGACACAACTCTAGAGCCAGGACCAGGCAGATCAGGCCTTTCCTGCTCAGGCAGGACCCTCGGGTGAGAGGGGTTCAGGTGAAGCGCTGAGTTTGGTGGGATCGGCTGCCCCTTGGTGGGGCTCACGCTCCCATTCTCCCACGGCCTTGCAGCTCCACAGGTCAGTTTTGGGTGATGGCTCCCATGCACCATCCCCTTGGGGCACCAGAATGGGAGTTTGTGTTGACTGCCCGCCTTTCAGGACAGGCTTCGCTCAGCAGTGGAACAGGTAACAATGACATGTTTCAATTGTCCGCCAGGCAGCTGCGTTCATCCTGCCCCTGGAGCTGAGCAGGGTGGGTCACATGGCAGAGCTACTGTCTCAAGCTAACCGAAGGCTCAAGCAGACCTTGCTGCACTGGCTACACCCAAGTACACGACAGGGTTACAAGATTTTCTTCACAACTACGAGGGCCAGAGATTTTTTTTCTTCTAAATGAAAACCGATGGCACAGCTACACTACACACTGCTGCAGGCACAAGTCACATCAGCATAAAGCCGCTGCAGAACGTGTGCTGCTTGTCTGCATGCACGCTTGGCTCCTTGTGTCGGTGCCGCGCGTGCTCACCAGGAGGGCTTGTGTCAATACACGGTGAGTGCACCATCGGTAGGTGTGTGTCTTTGCACCCAGTGTGTGTCTGGCCACTATCCAGTGCCCTGTCTTTTGGGGTTTTGACAATGCATGGTAGGGCTGAAATGAGTCATGCATGGGTGACTGGGAGCATGTAACTTTTTCCATCCCATAATGTCATCTATATCCTGGAAACACCATGATGACGCTCAGCTGGCGCCAAGCTGTGGGTGTCACTGTCCCCCGGCATAGAGTTGTAGGGGCAGCGATGCCACGTGGAATATTGGAGGAGGGGTGTGTAGAGAGGAGTCCCATTTTCCAGGCTCCTGTTCTAACCGCTAGACATGTCCCTGCTTTTCTGAGTAGCTGTGTAGTTCTCTTCTGCCATTTGCTGTAAATGACCAGTGTGGTTTGAACAGTCACAAGTATCCTGCCCTCAGGTTTACAGCCCTGGCTGTTAGTCCCCTGCAGTAATAAATAAACTAGACTGACCCCTGGGTTAATGGCTCAGCCAAGTGCTATCGCTGTCTTACTCGTCAGAAAGTTAACCCACTTCTTTCCCCCACCCAAACCCAGTGACCGTCCTACAGGCTGAGTGTCTGCTCCCAGCGGCTGAACACACTGAGAAGCTGCAGCGGAAACTCTGGGTTCTGCTACTGGAACATAAAAGGTATTTCCTGCCATTTCAGTGGACGTGACTTAAATTACATAGGAGCAGGGGAACCTAAAGCCTCTCCCACAGGTCTAAAGGGCAATACAATTTTGTAGGAGAGTCTGAATAATGATAGAAGTGAGGGAGATTTCAGCCACAAGGCTGCCTGTGCGTGAGGCACATTCAAGTGCTTCCCAGAGTGCCAGACAGGTGTTTCTGCTTCTGTTGGACTCCAAGACGCCTTTTTCTGTGCGACAGCTGCCGCTCTGGGGAGGGCCTGTCACCGTGCCTCCGTGGGTCACAACTGAGAATACCAAATTCAGAGCAAGGGAAAAAGGGCTAACACACCCAAAACTCTTCCATGAGAGGTACCAAACCAGCAACAAAATAAACTTCTGTCTCACCACACTGGCTAACAAGAAGTCACAAGTGCAGCCTCCTTAGGTATTCCAGTCCTGGATTCCACAACCAGACACCAGATTTAAAGATGAGTGGTTATTTGAAACTAATTTCATCAAACAAAAGGGTTCTTCTGATCCCAAAGGACCAGCCACATACCCAGGTCAATATATAACTCACATCTTCCCCAATAATCATGCTATTGCCAATCCTTTAGTCTTTAAAATCTAAAGGTTTATTTATAAAAGAAAGAAAGAAAGAAAGGTGAGAATTAAAATTGGTTAAAGGAATCAAATACATACAACAATTGCCAAGTTCTTGGATCAGGCTTGTAGCAGTGATGGAATAAACTGCTGGCTTGTTAAGTCTCTGGTTGCTTTCAAATAGTTGGAAAGAAGGCAGTCCCTTGGTTAGAATGCTCCCATTAGTATAAATCCATAGTCCAGAGGTTTGAGCAGAAAAGAGGCAAAATGGAGGTGTTTCCAGGGCCTTTTATAGCTTCTGCCAAGTGAAGGGAAACCCATTGTTCTCACTGGAAAATTACAGGGAACAAGATGGTATTTGGAATCATATGGGCAAGTCACATGTCCATGCATGCTTCACTTAGGGCTTGTCTACACTGGCAGTGTTAAAGCACTGCCACGCTTTAATAATGTAAATGAGGAGGTTAGGTTCCAGGGAAATACAATATATGTTTTAAACAAACAATTTAATACTGGTTTCAGAGTAGCAGCCGTGTTAGTCTGTATCTGCAAAAAGAACAGGAATATTTGTGGCACCTTAGAGACTAACAAATTTATTTGAGCATAAGCTTTCGTGGGCTACAGCCCACTTCTTTGGATGCATAGAATGGAACATATATTGAGGAGATATGTATACACATACAGAGAGCATGAACAGGTGGGAGTTGTCTTACCAATTCTGAGAGGCCAATTAAGTAAGAGAAAAAAAACTTTTGAAGTGATAATCAAGCTAGCCCAGTACAGACAGTTTGATAAGAAGTGTGAGAACACTTACATGGGGAGATAGATTCAATGTTTGTAATGGCTCAGCCATTCCCAGTCTCTATTCAAGCCTAAGTTGATTGTATCTAGTTTGCATATCAATTCCAGCTCAGCAGTCTCTCATTGGAGTCTGTTTTTGATGCTTTTCTATTGCAAAATTGCCACCTGCAGGTCTGTCAGTCTATGATCCGACAGGATTA